TAAAATTAAAGGTGAAAGAATGAAAATTTCAGACAGCCAGAAAAGAAGAGAATTTGTCTCCAGCTAACCTACAGTAAAAGAATGACAAGAGTTCTTCAGACAGAAAGAAAGTGATCATAAACAAAAACAGAAATTGAGGAAGGGATGAAAAGTAATATAAGATATAAATATGTGAGTAGATCTAAATGAAAAATGATATCAGGGCCAAGAAAATCTTAAAGAAAAATAAAGGTGAAGGACTTACATTACTAGGTTTCAAGTCTTATAAAGCTTTAGTTAGTAAGGCAGTGTGGTATTGGTTACAGGATTCACAAATAGACCAACAGCAGAGAATGCAAGTCCAGAAACAGACTGATGCTACACAGTCATTTCATCTATGACAAAGTTATAGCACGGGGGTTAGCGAGGATGATGGACTTTCCAGTAAATGGTCCTGAATCAACTGGGTAGCTATAGGGGAAAAAATGAATCTTGATCTTACTTCAGCCCATACACAAAATCAATTTCATATGAATTCTATATCTAAATGTGAAAGTAAAACAAAACTTCTAAAAGATAGGAGAGTGTCTTCATGAGCATGGGTGGGCCAAGATGCTTAAACAAGACACAAATATACCAATCATAAAGAAGACTAATAAACTGAATACATTAAAATGAAGAATTTCTGTTCATCAAAATACATCATTAATAGAGTGAAAATGTAAGTTTCAGAATGGGAGAAGATAAATAATATATATAACTGTCCAAGGGTTCATAATCAGAATATAAGAAGAACTTCTACAAATCAATAAGAAACAGGTATAGAATCTAAGTGGAAAAATGGGCAAAAGACTTCAATGGGCAATTTATAAAAAAGGATATCAAAATGGCCAAAACAGATATGGAAAGATGCTCAACTTCATTAGTCATCAGAGAAATATAAATTAAAACCCAAATGAGATACCATTATACACCCACCAGGCTGGCTAAAATTAAAAAGTTGACAATACCAAATGTTAGCAAGCATGTGAACCAACTGGAACCCTCAATCACTTCTGGTGGGTGTGTAAATTGGTACAACCACTTTAGAAATCTGTTTGGCAATGCCTACTAAAGCTGAACATATGCATAACCTATGACTCATAAATTCTACCCCTACATATGCATCCAATAGTAATTTGCACATATATTCACCAAAATACATCAAATACCTAGAATAAATCAAACAAAATATGTGTAAGAATTCCACACAGAAAATTACAAAAAATATCTGAGAGAAATGAAAGAAGACCTAAGTAAATGCAGGGATATACAAAATTCATAGATTAGAAAACTATATGTTATTAAGATGTTAGTTTTTCCTAAATTATTCTACAGTTTCAGTAAAATCCCAGTAACAAACCAGAGCAGATTTGTGCATATGTGCATGTAAACTGACTTACTACTCTTTTCCCTTGCCCCAAAGCTGCTGTGCTGAGGGAAGAGACCTACAGTTTGCTGAGCACCTACTGAGAGTCTGGCACTCTGCAAGACACTTTCCTCTGTTTTCACCTAATCTAATCTTTATAGATCCATAAAAGATATTACTACCCCAGTATTAGAGATAAGAAACAATTTCAGAAAGATCAATGACTTGCCCAATGTCACTGTATCACTGTTAATCACTATCACTATTTCACCCAATTCAGGTGTATATAACAGAAAAAAAGTAATCAGTGACTTAAATGAGATAGCTTATTTCTTTCTCATGTAAAAGATGTGAGGCAGTGCAGGGCTACAATGGCAGCTCCACAGTGTAATTAGGAACTCAGTTTCCTATCTTTGTGCTCCATTGTCCTAGAATGAAGTTTCCTTCTCAAGGTCATCTCTTGGTCCAAGATGGCTGCTATAACTCCAGTCATCCCATCCATATTCCAACCAACACAAAGAAGAAGGAAAAGAAGGGTAAATTCTCCTATTAAAGAAGCTTTTCAGAAGTCTCATATAACACTTCTACTTATATTTAATGGGTCACCTTAGAATCCTGGCCATTAGTAGTTACATGGGAAGCTGAGAAATATCCATTTTCAGCTAGGTTGCAACATACCTAGTTAAAAACCAGAGTTCTGTTACTGGGATGGATGGGGGATTATAGATATTGGTATAGAAAAGCAGCCATCTTTCAGAGTCACCCAGTTGGGAAGTGGTGGAGCCAAGATTCAAATCTAGCCACTGCCATCATTGCTTATGATCTCCCACAGGCCATCCCACACTTCCTCCTGGGCCCATGGCCACACCGCCTATATTCCAGTGAAGTGATTACCTGGGGAAGCAGAGGGGAACACGAGCTTTGTGGGGAAGCTGGGGGACAGAGGCAGTGGCACTGTGAAGCTTGCCTCCCTGCAGAGAACTCCTACTTTTCCATGCCACCTTCCTGTCCCCTCTCTGGAGCCCAGAGCTTCCCTGGAAGCTCCGTGTTCTTTGTCACGGAGCTCTCCTGTCTGTGACAGTGAGATGGGTGCAGCTTTTCCTGGGTTTTTGGCCCTAAGTTGGGGACTCACTAAATCTGTGTTTCCTCTGTTTTTGCCACGTTGAATAAATAGTCACGGATGGTCACAGAAGCTTCTTGTCAGAAAAAATTACAAAACTCTTCCAAAGAATAAACCTGTGCCTTTGCTAGAGGGTGGGGCCACCCCTGGGGTTCCCAGTGATTCCAGGACTCTGTGAACATTTCCATCTGGCACCTAGGTCCAGCTCTGTGTCTCAGCAGGGGAACCATAACAGGAGGGTTCTCACCGGAAAAGCTTAGTGGGTGAACTCTTTTTGGAAAATTAATTTTGAGTTAAAAAATATCACATTACAGTATTTTTTATCTTGAGTACTGAGGTTTTAGGCACCCCCTTAAATTTTGCCCCTAGTTCCTGCCCTGGATCTGTGAATTATAAGTGGACAGATGGGCTGCTTAGATTGGGACTTGATCACCACCAAGAAGACCTGCGTGGGCCTGGAGGGACTGGCGGGGCACAGTAAGGAAGAAGTAGTGAGTCTTCGCTACTGGAAGGATGTGGGGTTCCAATGGGAGTCTGGCCTGGATGATCCCAGGAGAGCGCTGAGACCCTCTGATTCCAAGAGGCAAAGAGGTGGCAGATCTCCTCGTGTAGCTTCAATCATCTTATAGCCCCAGGAGAACGCAAGAAATGCTGCCTCTTCTCTCAAAGACTTTGGGGACAGGGTCTGGGCTTCCTGGAATTTTGAAAGCTGCCCCACGCTGGAAGCCTGGCTCTGTTTTGATGGCATGACTCCATCCCATGAGGCCCACATGATCACCCACACTGAGGGGGAGTGAACAGCCCTAAGAAGAGCCTCCAGGTGTGCTGTTCACAGGCACAGAGATATGGGGGTGACGTCAGCCCCAAAGAAAATAATTCAGAATGAAAATGAAAGTCAGTGACCTGGGAGATGTTACAAAGTCAAAATATTTCTTCCCCAGACTGCTGCAAATAATCATCTGCCCAAAATGCATTTCTGTGCCTTGTTCACACCCATGCATGGCGTGCCCACCTGGGTAACATCCGTGCTCCTTGGAGGACACTGAGGCCCTTCTCACGGTGTCTCATGGCTATCACCAGCACTTGGCTTCACAGGTCTCATGTGTAAGCATTTATGTCTTTGGTTTCATTGAGTCTCTCCATTTAGTTTTTATACTGTCTGCTAGCATGGGATTTTTTTTCTTAATTCTTGTGTTTTCCTTAAATTTTATACTATTTTTAGATTAAAATATAGTGTGTCCCTGCACTCAAGTTATTTAAAAATAACACTTACTGAAATAAAATGAGTTATTTTGGCTCATTATTCAGCATCTCAAAAAACTTTTTATATGCTCATTGATTTTTGTGTGAAAATATTTCTTTTTACATTTTCTAACCAGAGGGTTTTTCTAGGATCTCTCAGGTGCCAGCATGATCTAAAGAGTTGTTTATAAAATGTGTCCTAATGATTTGCTGTGTTTTTGATAAATCAATAAATCATTCTTAAAGACTTGGCTCTGACTGAGATAAAATAATGGATAAAAATAGTGTACATATATATTTTACTATGAAGTTTGTTTTTTAAACGAAACTGGGGTTGGGTGGAGAATTTAACAATCTGAGCTCAGAAAAGACAGAAAAGAATTATGTACACTGCTGTACCAAATTCAGGCTGGTGGGTAGAATTGATAGATGGATGCTGCCATCTGCACCAGGGCTGCCATCACCTGATTCTTGATGACCCTTACACCAATAGAGAATGGTGCATTTTTGAATTTTTTGAAATTTGAAAATGGTGCAGTTTTTACATATGCCATAGTACCTGGGTCTCTCCCAGTCCCGTGAGGCAGGCAGGGAGGGGTTAATAACGCCTAGTGGAAACACATGGAGGACCTAACTTTAAGCACACCCTCTCCAAGGTACTGCTCACAGCTATGCCAGCACTAGAGCACCAGGTACCATGCTCGCCACATTACACAATCTGCCATCAATCCTTTTAACCCCAGAGGAAGGCATTTTTACCACTACTATACAGATGAGGAAACAGAGGCTCAGAGAACTCAAGCTTAAGGATACACGGCTGGTAAGTGGCAAAACTGAGGTTTGAGCCAGTCTGGTTGGTCTACCGCCTGTTTCCTAAAGTCTACTTGAGGGGTGCTTCTTCTCCTCCAAGATGACAGGAGCATCCGTGAGAGTGAGATCCAGTTGGGAAGCACCTGGGATAAAGCCCTGATAGAGTCTGAAAGGCAACGCCTTTAGTGGGTGCTGTGAAAGTCTCAGTTCCATCGCTTGCATTTTGTGCTTATAAAGCACCCTTACCTCATTTGGTTCTCACAATTCCTTAGAGGGCCATGCAGTGAAGGGTTGGCTTTCCTCATTGAGTGGTCAAGTGATTTGTTCAAAATCACATAGTAAAGGCCAGAACGAGATCTGGCCACTTTTCACCAACATCATCAGACAAGATGACCAAAGGAGATGGCCTGGGGGCTGCAACAGGCAGACCAAGGCACTGACCTTTCCCGAGATGGTCTTGGTCTGCTTGGAGCTCAGGGGCTCGAAGTCCACACCAATGTAGCCCTCCATGGCAGCAAGCAGACTCTTCCGGAGACAACGGGATGAGTTGGCTTCTGTGTGCACCTGCTCCCACCAGGAAGGCTCGTACCAGCCCGGGATGATCCATTGGTATTTGCTACCATACATGTTCTCCTCATATGCCTGCAACAGATGGGTTGACCATAAGTCAGACATGTATTCAAGTCTTTGTGCCCTGTGAGAGAGGTGGAAGGGACTCAGGCTTCCTCTTACCAGAGGATTGATTAATTTTTCTATTACCTGCTTGGTTATCTCTCCTTGTTTTCTCTCAACGGATTCAAGACAGTTTATGGGAAATACATATAATAAAATAATAACTGAATAAAAATTAAAACATAAAGTCCTGACCAAAGTCAGATAAGGCATTATAAGAAAACTATAGACTAATAACCTGATGAAATAGATATAAAAATTCTCAACAAAATATTAGCAAACTGAATTCAAGAACACATTAAAAGATTATATAACATGACCAAGTGGGGTTCATCACTGGGATGCAAGGATGGTTCAACGGATACAAATCAATGTAATATATCACATTAATAGAATAAAAGATAAAAATCACATGATTCTCACAGTAGATGCTCTTTGTGCACTGTGGTGAACTGGGCATATTTTAAAGTGTGAACCTTAGACAATTGTGCAGTTCACTCCTGGAGAGCCACAAAAATTAGGACATGTTATAAAACAATTCATGTCACACCCCTTTGTGTTCCTTGGCTTAGAACAGAGCAGAAAGACCAGGAGGATGTGGCGAGAGGAGACCGTGGGATTGTTTTGGACTCTGGGAAGGTTCTGGCTTTCTTCTACTTAGGCTCTAGGATGCTAAACCAGGGTCTACCCACAGAAGGTTGGGACAGAGTCTCTAATAGCTTCTGTACATTAGAGAAAAGTTACCATCAGGTCTAAGACTTGGAGGAGTGCTCCCCTCATTTCTACATCTGGGAAGGCAACTCTTTAAGAATTCTCTTAATACCAGAGAAAGCCCATCCTGCAGTGTGGAGTATCTCATTGGGATAAATGTGAGTTAGAATGTTTGTTACTTAACTTAAGCTCAGATCCCATCACCATGACCTCTGCCCATTGGTTCAGTGAGTCTCTGAGATTAAACCAAATTATTTAATAAAAGAGCCCTGCAAGTATCTTTAGGCAGTGATCACGTTGCCTCTTCTCTAGACCCCTCCAGTGATAGGAAACTTTCACCTCTCTCATCCTAGATATTATACTTCTTGTAATGCAGCCTCAGATCATAGTCATTTTTTCCAGCAGCTACCTTATAATGTTGCCCCAATCGTAACTGTTGTAGAAAACAGAGGGGCCTCGTATCTTAACTACATGACAAAATCCCAGTTCGACAAAAGCAGGCAGTCCCCTGGGCTTTCTAATAAATACGGTTTTAATCCACAGAAATTTTTTTTAAAGAGAGGATAATCCCAGAGCTATACCTTTGAACAAAAGGGTCATCTCATCCAGGGCATTTAGTCAATGGCAGAACCTATGAGACTTCACAACTTTCTCTTTTACTGATTGGGGGGGGGGGGAACTCACATACATTGAGCCCCTATTACATGCTTGGCCATTTATATACATTATCTTATTTTATCCTCACAACAACCCTTTGAGGTATGTGCTATTATCTCTATTTTGTAGATGAGGAAATTGAGGCTCAGAGATTGAGGAATTTGCCCAAACACATACAACTAAGTCAAGGGTACAAGATTCAAAGTCCCTTCTTTGAAGTTCCCACCTTTTCTTAGCAAAACAAACAAAAGTTGTTGGAAGCTTTCTCAATGTTAAAAGGTTGAGGCCCACTTATTAGGAATGTATGTTAAGTAGGAGTCAACAGATATAGAGGAAGGACATGAGGAGGACTTCTAATCAGATACAAAGGTGGGTTTGCCTAGCTCTCTGAGGACAAAAACCCTGTGATGATTTAGAGAGAGCACAGAGCAGGAAGCCAGGAGCCTCTTGGGGATCTGCTGTGATAGCCCTTGGGCCTGCCAATGTCCTATTAGAAGCTGTTTCTTGTGAGTGAATTTTCCAGAAAAAAGAAGCTTCATCCATTTGAATGATAACACATTTTGTTTAGAACATTAGTCAATTTTGATAAAGATAAATTTTCTACTGATCTTCTGAGCAAAAAAATATTATAGTCACATAGCAGTAGATTCTCCACCACACACCAGCTGGGTAACCTTAGCACACAACTCCTTGGGCCTTATTGTTCTCATTTATAGCCTGTGGAAAGCAAAGCCTATCCTGCTAGATTGGTGTAAGAATTAAATGAGATAATATGTACACCAGGCCTCGCCAGCACTCATCAGGGAGATTTTATGGGAGCTGTTCCTTCTTGCCCCTTTCTCCTTTGGTAACTCATGGTTTCATTCTGAATATCAGTCCCTGTCACAGGCCATGCACAGTGATGCTTTAGGGCATAGAGAAGACTGGTCTAGACACCAATGGCCCCAAGCTATTGTGCTTGGAGCTTTTGATCTACTTCCTAAGTCCTTGTCTCCTTTCTAGCTGTCAGGCCTAGGTTGTCACTTTTCACTGTCACTAAGTCCCTCTCCTCACTCTGAATTTGCGGCTCTTAAGCTGGTATGGGCTTGGAAAGCAAGGGGCCTGAGTTGCTAAACATGTGTAGAGCATAAGTAAACAGACATTGAGGGAGGGTCTAAAAGGTTCTCCTGCAGGGGAGTAGACTGGGTTTTAAGTACATCATCCGTTGTCGAAAGTAACTGAAGGGGCCTCTGGGCCTCTGCCCCAGCATTCGCACATTAGGGGGAGCTGAGACTGTTGCACACGTGGGCTCCAAGCAGCTGCTGGAGTGCTTGTCCATCTCCTTTGCCAGCTGTGGGGCTCCTGGAGGGCGGTGCCTGCACTTCCCTGCATCCCATGCCTAGCACAGTGCCTGGTGTACAGAAGGCACCTAACAGGTGGCTGTGGGGTGACTGAGGGCATTTCTGGGTGACTTGGTCACCTTGGTTTCCTTTTCCTCTGCGTCTGGGAGGAATGTGGCCTTCGGACCTGTGGTCACCAAGGGGCCCTGCCATGTGGTGAAAGGCAGTCTTGAGCTCACCTTCTTCAGTCCCATGAACTGCTTAGGTGGCTATTAGTTGTTGACAAGTAACACGATGTGAATTACAAAATAAAAATCAAATTTCTTCTATTTATTCAGTTTTCTTTTGCTTCCTCTCTTCTTCATGCAAGAAGGACATTTACCTTTTATATTCTAGTTCACAACAACAATAGTAATAAACCCTCACATCAGTAAAGCAGTTAATAGTTGGGATGATGGTTTCCCTTCAGTGGCCTTATTTAAGCCTCCTGACAACCCCATGAAGGGTAGGGGTCATTGCTTTCACTTTAGAGGTGAGGCAGCTGGGGACCAGAGATGTAAAGTGACCTGCAGTCACACAGCTGGCAGAGCTAAAACCAGAACCCAGGTCAGAGCATTTGAGAGTTTAGACTAGATCACCAAGGAGGAAGGGGAAGACAAAAGTGACAAGCCATGTTTGTCCTGTGCTGAAGACAGAATGAACATTTTGCCACCAGGCTATAAATAGGCCTTGCATTCACTGGCTTCTGCTCTTCCATTGGGTGGCGGTTCCGATCCCAGGAACACAGCAATGTGCTGCACAGTTGGCACTGCAACATTCAGATGGCAAAGACACGCATGTTCCCATTGGGTCTGCGCTCTGAGCCTGATGTGGGAAGGAGGGCTCTCTAGTGAGTCTCTGCTCTGAGCAGCCCCTGTGCTCCATCATACGCCAGAGTCTTGATCCAGCGGAAGGACAATGAGCAGACTCTTCTCAGGAACTTCAGACCTGCCAGCAGAACTCCTTCCATCATAACCAGACAAGACTCAAAGTCCTGAAGGGAAGATTCCATGTGAGGTCTGACACATGGAAGAACAAATACCCAACCAAAAACCTTTGAGAAACTTCTTGATGAACAAAGCAGCCAGTGAAGACTCTGAGAGAAAGCCTGTCTCAAAATACCAAAAGTCCAGTGAGAGGAAAGAGGAGAGGGGGGGTGGTGTCCCGTGCTGTGTGGAAGGCAGGCAGACTGGGGCTTTGGGTCATGAGGAAGGCATTATACCATCTGTTCTCAAGCAGAAGCCATGGCTGGAAATGCCACTGGGAAAATACTCCCAGCGCATGGTGCAGAGTGAAATCACAGCCACCCCTTGGCTTGGGTTTGGCTTGAAACAGAACCTGAGGTCTATCTGCATTTCTTACAAAAGGGAGATGAACTACTGCCCAGTATCCTGTCTTCATGGATCACTTTAATTAATTTTTTCCTGGAGTTAGCTACCCTGAGCCAGCTGTTTGCAAGGCTTTGGAGATATGTGGGGCAGGGAAAAAAGCCCAGCTTCTTCCCCCAAAGAGGGCACATTCTCCAACTTAGAGCATTATTTTCCTTGTTAAAATGGACCATTTCTGGATGTTAGATGGTAATGTACAAGGTTTTATGAGTTTTGAAGTAAAATGTATTAAATCAATTTGCTCCATTTTTTTCAATTTTTCTCATATTCTTCCTTAGATGTTCACATAGAAAGACACCTTGTTACCCTTAATTAGTACACAGGATGCTTAAATCTCATAGGGTCTTATGAAGTCCCTCAATAAACTTGTCAGCTCGACAGCGGTCCATTTGATCCTCAGACACCTGAAACTTCACATAAACAAAAAATGATTGCTGACATTTACTGAGGGCTCACTGTGCACCAGGCATTGGGCAAAGCATTCTTGCTCATTTAATCTTCACAGCAATCAGATGTAACGGGTGTCATATTACCCCCACCGTATAGATGAGAAAACTGAGGCTCAGGCAGTGACAACAAACCCAAATCCAGAGGCTAAGCAGCAGAGCAGGGGTTCAAGCCGGACCAGACTGACTCCTGAGCTCTAAACTTCGCCAGCCTCCCCTAAAAGGCCAGCCGCATAGCTCCCGCCTCCTCCCTGTAGACGGGGAGGTGACCAGGCCCTTGTCACCTTGCTTTTGAGCCTTCAGGATGAAACTTGTGTGACAGCAGCTTCCAGCCTCTGCTCTCTCCTCACTCCTGGGTTGTTTTCAGTTCCTGCATCTCTCTTGAAAAAGGACACCACGATCTGAGACACCGCCCCAGGGAGGGTCCCTCCAGCAGACAGCAGAGGGACACCCACCCTCGGTGTGGACATACAGCCTGAGGTCACCTCGGCACCCTACCAGCTATGCTTATATGGTGACTCATAGTAACCTTGACATCAGTCAAGACCCCACAATCTCTTGTGTTCTAAATACACAGTACTCATCAGCTATGGCTCTACCACCCTTGGACTTAGCAGCTCCATTTGTTCTAATATAACCTCCTATTAGGACTATTAGATTTAATCTTCTTGGATTTAGCAAACGTTCCAGCCTGCCGAGGTTCTCTGCACCATGCTCTGTCATCCAACAGACTTCACAACTTCTAAAATTTCTACAAGCCTGCTTTTTATAATCTCACCCAAGTTACTGACAAAGGTAAAAGAGAACAGAGGCCTGTGGCCCATCGCTAGAGACTGTACCTAGATTAACCTCAGTCTAAGAGCAAGAGCTTATTGGCTAGACAATCGCTCGTGTAACTGGGCTCTCACTCTGTTGATTTTTCTTCTGACCCAGGGTAGAGGACAGGGAGCAAGGGCAACAGAATGGAAAGACTTAGCGCCTGTGTTAGAACTCCTACATCCACTCTGGTCAGAACATCATATTGAGAAAAGAGGAGCAGATTGGAAATCAGATGACGGGAGTGGAGCTTTGGCTCTGCTACAGACTGGCTGAGGACCCCGAGAAAGCCCCTCCTCCTCTCTGGGCCTCTATAGCCTCATCTGTCAAGTGGGATGACAGTTGCTTCACAAAGCCACTGAAAAGATTAAGTGAGATAAAGTATTAAGAATACTTCTGTCACCTATCCATGCCAGACATTTGTAGAGAACACTGAACAGTTGGCAGTTTATTCTGCACCTAAGCCCCTGAGCCCTGCTACAGGGCAGGGAGCAGGTCTGAGACGCTTCTGTCTGGCCCCAAATCCAGCGTCTCCCTCTGTGCAGCACACACCGCGGGCCTCCATTAAGCGTGATTGAGTAGAGGGGATTTAGAATTATCCGACAGGGCTTAGAGAGGGGGCTGGATGGTGGCTTTGGTAAAAGCGAGGTCCCTGGAACCTCCTGTGACAGCACTGTTCTGAGCTCTGGGGGTTTAGTTTTGGGCTCCCTGCAAAGAGGAAAGAGTGGTGGGCATAACGCTTCTGCTGCCCACAATCCAGACTCCAGCCCTGTGATCCCTCCCACAGAGCAGGCAGTGAGGATGAGTCTAACAGAAAGCTTTGTGAACCTTCCCGAAGAACAAATGACATGACCAAAGTTTTACTTACACAGCAGAACACTTTTGCTGCCATATTCTGGTCAAACTGGCCAAGGATGATCCTCACGTCATTGCCCTGTGGACAGAAGGAAATGGGTGTGAAGGTGAGCGGATGATGATACACCCCAGAGGGCTCAAGGCCAAGGGCAGGGAACGCTCGCACCCCTGAGCTCCCCAGCCAAGAGCTCTGCCTGAGCAGGGTGGGCAGGGCAGAACCTCACCCCCACCCAGCCTGGCCTGGATTCTCTGGTCCTCTCTGGGGCCAGCCTTTCCTCGGCTCCTGTGTCAGTCCTCCCTGGTCTCTTGGACAAGCCCTGGGACAAACTGCACAGGCTGGAGGCTAAAGCTGACGGCTCTGAGGGGTGCTGGCATCAACCCTGCTCTCCTCCAACAAGGGCAAGCAAAATCTTCTCCCTCACTTTACAAGTAGAGAAAGTGAGTCAAAAGAGACACAGGAGCTCCCAAATCCCCAGAGGAACTGGCAGCAGAAATAAGACCCCGGCCAGGCCCTCTTCCAGTGTTCTAGACTTTTCTACCTCCCTGGATCCCACAAAGCTTCCCAGTGAGGAAGTTTCAGAGTCTGAGTTATGAGCTTTGTTCAAATCAAGCCTCAGGGACCTCAGGTGGTTCCTTTTCCCATCTTAGTCTCAATTTCCTCATATGCAAAATGAGGGTGATGGCAGTGCCGACCTCACAGGGCTGCTGGGAGGACTAAATGAGATAACCTCACAAGTGCTTACCTTAATTCCTGGCACACAGTGAATGACCAACAAGCACTAGCTAGTATTAGTATTTTATAACTTCCCAACCCATCTTTATTTAAAAGGGAAAGTCTATATTCAAAAGTTCTATAAATGGGATTGCACTTAAGGGGGAAGGAGACCCAGGCTGGGCCCTGAAGGAGCGCATGCTGGGTGCCCCCAGGAGGCCAGCTGGGCCCTGGCCGCAGGCCTGCTCCCCACACAACCGTTTCCTGCCCTTTGCACGAGGCTTAGCCTTGCAGGCAGTGCTACCTCCCTGCCGTTCATCCTGTTCTCTTCAGCAGGCCTCAAGGCCCTTTGATGCATAAAGAAGAGAAGCATGCCTTTAATGATCAGTTTTTAGCATCCTACAAAATTGGAAAGTGCTGACTGGGAAGCCATTTTACTCATCATGTACTTGAGCAAAATAAAAAAGGCTTGGATTCTAAAATCATCCTTCGTTTGCAAGCAAGAATGGAAAGAAGAAAAACTTTCTCTGAAAGGGCTTTAAAAGATCGCTAACAGAGCAGTTGCAGGAAGGCAAGCCTTTGTCATCACCACGTCTGCAATGCTATAAAAAGTTCTAAGCTGCTTCCGTTCAGTGGACATGCTCCCAGGCACACTCAGGGTCTTCCTGCTTGTTTGTTGAAATTTTTAGCATTTCTTGATGCTAACAGTATTTGTTTATCCAACCAGCCAGCCAGTCAACATTTACTGAGCATCTACTTTGTGCCAAGCTCTGTGTTGCTAAACATGGTATAGCAGAAATAGCTGATTGGAGTTTGGAGTCAGAAAGATCTGAGTTCAAATCCCTGGTCTACCACTGACCAGCTGTGTGACTCTGGGTCTTGATCTCCTAGAGCCTCAGTTTCCTTGTCTCTGAAATAGAGATAATCCTACTACCTTGCTGAGTGACTGCAAGATTCATGATCATAAAACTCACCCAAACTGGCTTCCTCCTACTTCCTGGTCCCTCTTGCTCAGGCTCTGAATCAGCATCTTGCCTTTCTGCCCATCCTGAAATGCTGTTGCTCCCTCGGTTCTGCCCTAAGCTCTGTGCCCTCATCACTCACCCTCACTCATGACCCCAGCCACACCTGTCCTTGGTGTGCAATGAATTTCCAATCTCTCCCCCCAGCCCTGCTCTCCGCTGTCCACTGGGCACTTCCATATGGATTCTCCAGGTACCTCAAGCTTAACATGTTCCCGGCTGAACTCATCAGCTTTCCCAGTAAGCCCGTCACTCCTTCTGGGTTGTCCATCTCTGAGAGAGGTGTCCCAGTCTTCCACGCATCCAGGCTGGCAACTTGGGAGTCACCTTAGACTCACTCGCCTTCATCCAAGCCATAACCCAGACCTGCTGGTGCCGTCTGCTCCCTAGTGAATAAGTCATCCCCGTCTCTCCAGCCCTACTGCCTGGGTTTAGCCACCGTCATTCCCTTGGTGAAGCCTGACAGCCCCATCCACGCTAGTATCCAAAGAGCGGACAACAGGATCATTCCAAGATTCGAATGTGATCATGTAAAATCTTTCCACAGCTGCCCGAGCTTTATAGATCAAACTCTGAGCTCTTTAGCAGAGCATTCAAGATTCCTTCCTAGCTGACTCCCACTCACTTCTCTCATCACCTCGTTCTCGCCAGTCCTCCACGGAAGCCAGAAGGAGCCACCTGTAGTTCTCTAAAACAGATCTGCCACTCCTTCATTCATTCACCCATTTTCCCACTCTGTTCCCTCTTTCTTTCCGCAAACTCATCCACCCAGAATGCCCTTCCCTCCCACCCCACTCCTCTGCCAGGATAGCACCCTTCATGCTTTAGCTCAGGCACCCCTACTCTGAGGAGCCATCTTCATCCCATCTGGCTTGATGGCCGCTTGCTCCTCTGTGAGCCCAGAGCACCCTGCATTTCCTCTATCATGGCACAGGTCCACTTACTTGTCTGTCTTCCCCACTGGATTGAGGGGAACTTGATTCATCTCTGGGTCTCCAACTCAGGGGGACAGGGCATGACACATATATCAAGAAACAGGTGTTGAAGGCATGATTAAGTGAATGAGTGCTGTGTGAAGCCCCAAGTACAATGCCTGGCCTGTACGGGGTATTCAGGAACTGGGCACTGTTACCATCACTGCATTACTGCCCTGCTAGCTTAGGGCCTGGGCACTGATTGGGTTCACCATGTCCATGTACATTTCTTGAATGGACCAGGGACCCACATCTTTCTGGCTGACTGCCCGACCACCTGCTGACAGATAAACAACCAGCTCTGCCACTTGTGGACCATTTAGTTTCTCTGTTGCTATGACAACCAAGTTGCATGGACCGCTTGGTTCTGTGCTCCCAGACTGTCAGGACTGGATGGTGCTCAAAGGATCACCGATCCAGCTAACCCCTTCCTAGGGAGGCAAAGGCTCCCCCAAGATGGAGCAGCACCCCAGGACTGGCACTCTCACCATGGCTCCCCCTTGGCCACAGAGGGCCCCAGAGAAGGATGCCATCCAGAGCCAGTTGTACAGGGAGCTACTCACACCCACTGCTTCTAGATGGGGAGTAGGAGGGGCAAGATGCTGTAGTGTCTGGAAGGGGGGAGGGCAAGGCTGCGCCCAGAGCCAGAGCCTGGAAGCAGGGTGGGGGCGGGGAGACAGGGAGATGGCACTGGCCTGGGATCCTTACTGGAGCCTTGGGAGCAGTAAAAAGAATTTGGAGTCCCTCTCAAAATGGGGTATGTGTCCTCCTAGGGCATGAGGCGTTGTCCTCAGAGAGTGAAAAGCATGGATATACTTGGTTCTTCTTCCTGGAATAGCAATTTATTGGAAGATTCAGGGTGAGGGAAAAGGTTTTGGATCTGGGGAGTCTTAAAAGTTTTGAACACAAAAGTTCTGGAATCATGCATTTCAATGTTGCATGACTTGTATCTCTTCCTAAAAATCCAGAGAGTGAGAAGAGGAATTTTGTGTTGGCAGAGGTCCCTGCTCTGGCCAAGCCTGCCCCTCCCTGTCGGGGGCTCTGAGCATATTCTCCTCTGCAGTGGAAAGGGGGCTCAGGGCAGTTTGAGGAGTGCTGGGCTTAGGCAGGAGAGCCATGAGCATCCCTGCAGATGAGAGTGACAGAACGGGGCTGTGACGTTACAGAGACCCCGCAATGTGGCAGGCAGCCAGTCTCAAAAATCCAATGCCCTTCTGCAGGGGGCCGCCTGGGGAAAGAGCAGGTGACCTGAGGTGGGACATACGACAACTTCTCAGATGGTTAGGTCTAAGGTTGTAGACCATACGGAGACCTACGTTCACACCCTTAAGAGACCACACGCACAGGGAAGGGATCAAAATGGAAGGAAACAGCCATGGAGTGAGAGGCCTGGGAGGGGTGCTCAGCCCAAACCCTCGATGGATTTCCTTCCCTCTTTCCTGGGCCCTTTTCATGTGTTGTCTAGATCTCCTTTGTCTCTGGGCTTCTAAAGAGACAGAAAATAACACACACACACACAAAGTGACACTTAAGAAGGATGACCCAATTCAAAGAACTAGGGTATAAAGCCCAGTCTGCAGAGCACCCTAGCAAAGTAAAAATGCATGACAATTCCTGAGCTTGTCTAGCTGTTGTGCTAAGAGGTACGGCAGCCCCACCCTAGGAGATAGGTGTTATTTTTTTGCCCATTCTGGGAAGTTTCAGGACCAAATTGAGGCCCAAAGAATTCAGAAACTGTCCCCTGTGAAGCAGATGCTGCGGTCCTGCTGGAGTCCTGCCTTGTGGCCACACATCCATCCCAGCTGCAGTGAGGGGGGCTGCTAACTGCTCACCCCTTTTCCCGGAGGACTGCCCTCAGCCAAGGGGAGCTTCCTCCTGTAGGAAGTCGTGCCGTGCCCCACACCCCACAGCTCCAGGGACTGACTCACAGGGCTTCCCCCGCTGGAAGGTGGGACAGCCCCGTGGTGCAGGCTGTGCTCTAAGACATCCCATGGGGTCAGGCCAACCCAGTGTCCAGCCAAGGCCTTGCTCCTCTCTTGCCTTCTGCTTTTCTCCCTCTCTGAGCACACTCTCAGTAAATCACTTTCATAAGACTCTCTGTCTCTGTTTCTAGGGAGTTCAGTCTAAGACACCAGATCACACAGGTGGGAAGCCGTGTCTCTGGCCTCAGCCTCAGGTGCGTCTGGCCCCGGAGTGTGAGCACGTGACCACTGGCCCCTTTATATTACCCCCAGGCTGGAAAAACCAGCCCCACTGGGCCTGAGCTGCCATCCAGTTCACAGCAATTCTGGAGAAGAGCCCTGCAGACTTGGAAGTGAGAGCATTTGAGTGGCAGATATAATCCTAAAACATTAAAATATCCAGTGTGCGC